TAATGGTTGAACAATGGATAAATACAACATCACATCGAGATTATTATGATCAATGTAATCCAATTCAATGTCAATATTCATATGTAGGAAAAAATGATTTTATAACAGTTATAACAACTATTATTGGTTTAATTGGTGGTTTAATCACCATCTTGAAAGTTGTTGTACCACGTTTAGTAGCAAAAATTCGATCATTTCAACATCGTCAAAACACTGAACGTAAGAATTATCAATGCCACTAGAATCAATTAGACTCTTAGTATTTATTATTCGATCAAAGCACTTTTGTCTCAAAACATCGTGCTTAAAATTTTTCAGAAAACATCTCTTTTCTTTGAATAGGTCGTTTGGTATCCTCCTAGTGAGTACTTATCTAATGAATGGCGTAAGAAAAAAATATACTCAGTGCTCTCATTTATAATAGATCGAATGAGTTAAAAAGTTTTTACTGTTAATTGAAGAAAAGAAAAGTTTTCTCATGCATTTATTAGTTCTGTGCATCAAATAAATGAATGGCAAGGACATTTTTCTTTTCTTTACTTTACTAGAAAATATTAGTCATTCGTTAGATTTCTGATAAATAGATGAAAATCATCTGTAAAAAATGGTAATAATCTTATGAAAATGAATTGATTTGAGAAGATTAATTAGATATTTTATTGCTTGTTTGTTTAGGTGTACCTATTCGTACTCGAATTGTTGGTTTATGGGTTCAATTGAAAATATTAATTATTAAATTAAATTTGTTTCATTCTGATGTTGATGTGAGTGACGATGAAATAAAAGGCGAGATAATATCTACTCGTGTTTATATTATTCTTCTTGTTCTTTCAATTTTAACACTCACTATTTATCGACTACAAGTAAAAATTATTCAAACGATTACTATTTCATCACCATCTTACGCGAAATATCTCGAATTACATGAAATCTATTCTTCTTCTCTGACATGTCCATGTACAAATATTGGTATTGAACAAGGAAATTTTATTAATATTGATGCTACTTTTCATCAAGTGTGTCAAAGTGATTTTATAAAAGAGAATTATTTATTATTTCTGAAAAACTCTGTATTAGATGATCTTATTCGGAGTGGTCAAGGTCATTTACAATTTGTCGCATCTTGGTGCCGTTTAGCGAATGAAAGTTTAAGAGATGGTCGTCTTGTATTTAATAGTCAACAATTGATAACTCAAGAAGTTTTATCGATTGATATATTAAAAAAAGAAGTTCAATCTCTTTCTATTCTCTTTTTTACATCAACAATTAGTACATTTGTTCGTTCATTATCTATTGTTCATGAAACAATTCATATGAATGCATTACAAAATGGTTTTCAAACAAATTTCTATCCTCAAATTACAGGTACCTTTCCACTTTTAAATTTACTGACAGCTACTGTAATTTATCCTCCAAATGCATGTTCTTGTGCTGTATATTCAACATGTACAACACCAAATATATTTCCTGTTCAAAATAATTCCAATACGATTATTTTTACTTTTCCAGGATTATTAACTGGATGTTATTTAGATGAATCAACTTTTCAATCAACTCTTCAATGTTATTATAATCAAACTTGTTTAGATACAGTTCATCATTTTCTTCAATCGACATTATCAACTAATATAACTGCTCTTAATCGAACTCTTGATAGTCAATATAATGAAACTTCAATTATTCGTGATATAGTTAATAATATGATGATAGAAAATTGGACAGCTGTAGCATTTCATCAATCTTTTTATGAAACTTGTCAACCATCATTTTGCACTTATTCTTATCAAACTCAAAATAGTATCTCAGCTGTCATTACTATTGTCATTCAACTTGTTGGTGGATTAACTGTTCTTTTAAAGATTTTAGTACCAAAAATTGTGAAAATATTTCGTTCATCACCTTGTATACATCATGAAAACACTACACAAGGTAAAAGATATTTTTTCTAAAATTTGAAGTAATTTTTTTTTAATTTTTTAGGTTTCTCAGTAAATCAAATCTTTATTAAAATAAAAGATTTTGTAAAAAACTTTAATTTATTTCATTCAAAAATATCTTTTCAGACAAACTTACAGCGGCAAATCCAATTAGAAGTGATGTCAACACGTCTCTTCATCTTTCTCTTTATTGTTTCATTATCAATATTTGTTATTCTTATTTCATTAATACCTGTAAAACAAACAGTAACCTTTGATAAACCATCGTATGAAAATTATTCGATTTTATACAAACAACAAAATCAATCTCTTGAATGTTCATGTACAACATTATCAATTGAATATAATCAATTTCTTCAAGTGAAAGTTAATCGAACTCATCAAATATGTCAAAGTATCTATATAACAAATCAATGGATTTTATTTATTTCACAACGACCAAATGTGCTTTATGTTCGCGATTTTCGAATATTGGGACCTTCGTTCTTTCGTGCATTGGCATCGTTATGTACTCTCACTGCACAGGCAATTTCTGATGAACTTATTGCATTTCATGCACAACAATTTGTAACGCGTTATGTCATATCATTCGATTTATTTCAAGAACAAGTTAGATCGTCTATTGAATATTTTATCACATCAACAACACTTAATTTTATTCGTTCTTTACAACTCGTACGAGATACAACTCAAGGAAATATTCTTTTTGCTACACGTGGAACAAATATGATGTTTACTTTTAATGTTCCCGATAATAAGACTGTTATATTATCAACAATTTATACTCTTTATGGAAATTCATCATCACTTTGTTCATGTCAAGATACGTCACAATGTGTTAATCAATCAAGAATTTATACAAATTACACAGGTGAAACGATTAAATATTCTCTTCCCGGAATGTATGCTGGTTGTTTTGTTGTGGAAGCTCTACTTCAATCAAATCTCATTTGTCTTTATAATCAATCATGTATTGATGATCTTCGTTATGCACTCAACGCATCTGCTACTAATCTCACTACAACCGCATTGGATTTAACATTACCTACTCAATA